AGTGCTTTTACAAAAATCGGAAGAAATAGCGACGGTGCAGGCAAAGGATGAGCGCCGAAATTCGGCTACCGCGCACCGTATGCCATGCCCACACCACACTGTCCAGGACCCGCACTGCTGCGCCGTACCGCGCTGCCACAAAGACAGCCATTCGGGGCGTACGCCCGAGCCGGCGAGCCGCCGACGGCGGCCGCTCAGCTGCCCGCGACGCCAGCCGCGCACGGCTTGCGCCGGCCGCCCGGACGGCCGCCCGCGTGCCGCCAAGCCCCGCCGGCGCCCGCCCCGCCGGCGGCGCGCCGCCCACAAGCGACGAGCCCCGCACCGGCAGCGGCATCGCCAAAGACCGCGCAGGCAGCCACGCCACGCCACCGCCCGCCACCCCGGCCGACTCGCCACGCCCCGCCGCCGCCACGGCGCCACCGCCGCGCGCCGCCCCACCACGCCACCCGGCAGCCCCACGCGAACCGGCAAACCGGCAAGCGGGACCAGTGCACGCCACGCAACTCACCAGCCACGCCTGGGGCGCACCGCCACCGCACCGCACCAGCACGGGCCACCGGCCAACCGCACTCGGTGGGGTGGGGAATGACAAATTGCAGCGGGGTCGCGTTGCTCTTCAGGGATGTTCAAAATGCAGGCGCCGCTTGCTAACTGGCCGACGCCTCAGGTACGATTTAACATTAGACTGTTTTCTTTTTCGAATGTAAATGTTGGTTGTACAGAGGTATTCTTGCGATCGCTCACAGAACATGATTTTTGATATTATAAACAGAAAAGACCATACAATCATTTACGTAAAATTAATTTCCTATTTGTCACTGGTTCTAGAATATTACTTTGTTTCTAAATATTTGCTTTTCTTGGGACTTTTTCGAACTCAAAACAGTGTACTTACAAAACAGTGTTTATTATAAATTCATTAGTTTATATTATTAATTAGTTATCCATGAGTTATCCATGTAAGGTCCCGGAGGTGGCTGCTCGACGACTAAACTTATAATGTAAGTCTCCTTGCCCTGTGTAAGTGGACATTGCCCTTATAGGGAATAAACGTGCTAACAACAACAACAATAATAATAATAATATAATAATAATAATAATAATAATAATAATAATAATAATAATAATAATAATAATAATAATAGAACAAACAATGTACTCTGCAATATGTATGGATTTGTTACAGATTTTTAAGCAACCCAAAAATTCATACTCCTAGGCTTATGAAAAATGTAATTTAAAAATATATTAAAACGTAAATGAATTTTGTGTTTATAAAAATGTATTATTGTTATTATTGTGACACCTTTTCATTTTCGAATGAAATGATTACCCAAATATTCGTAGTACTCTTTTCTGATAAGTCTCTGTAACATACGATGAAACAACGTTGAAAGGAATATTCTAAGCTTTATCCTAATGTTGGACTTATGGCAACATTTTCAAACCAATTGACAACAAAACATTTATTCTGTTGGGGAAGTGTCATTCTGAGTGTCGACAATAGCTGAGAGAGAAAGGTTACGTATTTATGTCTTCCGTTTCTTTGTCAGTTAGTCTGACGGTTGTGGTTGCTTGCCTTTTACTACATTCATGGTGACTTGCATGATCACCAACGGTAACTGGTGCTAAAAGAATGACGATGAAGATGATGGGATGATGAATTAGATGAGACATTTGTGAGAAGCACATGCGACGTTAACTTAAAACAAGAGAAGGGCAACGAAATTTCTCGGCGCCTCTGGGCCTCCGTCTTCTGTTTATATTACACTTTTCATTTACATTTGATACCTTTTACCAAGAAGTAAATAAAACATACTATAGAGATCAATGAAATTATAACTTTAACGATGCAAATAATACTATCGATTACTTCATTATTATCAATTATTGACACACACACACTACAATCTCTTTGTTTTCATTCTTCTCCTGATGCCTCTCAGCGTCGGGTTCACTACAATCTCATGGTATAAAACACTCATGACTTGTGAGGGACTGGAACCCACAGCCTTTCTTCCCGCTTACTTGGACTCTGGTCAAGTCCCTTTTCTACCTTTGCAGTTTCCTACTTTCTGTACTTTAGGTGCAAAGTTTGCAGTATTTCTGCCCGCGCTTCTCAGCGTCGCCGCCCACTGCTCTGAGCGCAGCTGATGCCACGTCGAACGCCTGATGTGCCTCTGCCGCCCACGCGGCGCCGCCATGCAACGCATGAAATATTCCGAGCGGACCCTGACCCAGCTACGCCCCCGGGCGGGGGCGGGCGCGCCGAAAACACGGAAATGGTTCGGAAGGAGGAGCGGGCAGGGGAGGGGCGGGACCGGGACGGGCAGAAGGGAAAGGATGGGGATGGGCAGGAAGAGCCGGATGGGAGTGAATGGGTCATGGAGGGATGGGGGGGAGTGGCTGAGTGATGGGTGGTGGTTCTCACGCCTCAATGCGGGTAAGGGCGCGCCGGGTGGGGGTGGGCGAGAAGGGACGGGTTGAGTGGGGTGGGTGGGAAGGAGCGAGTCCGGAAAAGGGGAGAGGGGATGGGGCGCGCAAGAGGGTGGTAGAACGAGGCGTTGCAGGTGTCTCTTTCTGGGCGGAATTCGACAGCTGTAAACATTTGGACGTCATATGATGCAAGAGATGGCGCCCAACTTAAAACGTGGGGACGGGGGTCTGAGCTGCGTGGGTGAGCGAAGGTGATCGCTCAAGTGTAAACGCTGGAAACTCAGCTATCCCTTGGAAGCAGGACGGGACTGTCAGTTGCCGTACTGCAGGGTTGGTAATCGTGTGTGACATCCTCTTAATACTTCAAGAATGAAGAAATGTTAGCAAATCCATGTTCAAGGGAGTAAAGTAAGATTTGATTCACGAATATAAATGTTTAAGACAACAAGGTATAAGAAGCAGACGGGATTTAACTATTCTATTTAAATAACATATTTTTGCTTTCGAGTGCCATAAACTACCAGCTTGAAATTGCTTCTTCATGATTAAGTTATCTTCATCATAACAGAGATTCTGTAATTTTTATTTACGACATTTGTCCATTGAAAACCTGCATAAGAAATATTTAGTTCCGTTGGGCAATAAAATATCGTGAATGATTGACGTTCCAGTTAAGAAGACAGTTCGACCGAAAGGATCAGCAGCTAACAAATCTACGAAATTGTACAAGATTTTAAAATATTTCGTGTACATCATAAGGCGTTAAATTACATGCACTCTAATACAGGGAAATTCACGCAGAATCGCATACTTTCGAAAGTAAATCTCACGAAGAAAAGCAATGAGCAGTTTCAGAAAATATTTCCGTGGACCACATTAAATTGCATTCCTTTGACAAGAGAACTACTGCGGAAATAGTATCGGTTTGAGAAACGAACACCTTATATCACAGTTTCCATTTGAGATGCATTTCATTTCCACAATGGTGCTCACTGCACAACGTTACGAATGCAATAACCGAAAATGGATGAAAAAAGAAAACTTACGGTAATCGATATACCCAAGGACGCCAAATAATTTCCGTCATCATTTTTGCACAGGCAACCAGACAACTGAGTGTCAGTACAATGCGCATTGTGTCCTATAGACGTCACTTGCTTTAGTGTACAATCAATATAATGAAATCGTAGTGATGGAGGTTTAACAACGCTTAACGAATTGGGTAACATTATCACCGTGAACGATGTCTAAGAAGGGAATTTCTTATGATTAAACTATATTTATTTTCAATGGTTGATGTTAAGTCTCCAAATAAACAACTTGGTCCAACACAATACAAAGTTTTTTAGAAATATAGTCATGTACACTTTGTCGAAAATATGTTTTCGCGATATATAAGTAATTAAAAAATCTCAAAAACCACTCCAATGTTTTCGGAATGGAACCACATAGGCCTATTCAAATGACGAAAATCCCCTTTTCCGTGACAATCTACATTTTCAAAAATTACGGAGCTTTTTCAGCATCTTCCTACAAATACAATATTGAAGAGACGTATTTTTTCTTCAGTGAAATCTGTTCTTTAAATTTGTTTTTATAGCATCGGGAAGCATGTGTATAGCTTAGAGGTTGGTGGTCTACAGTTAATGTGAACAGCGTGACTAAACCTAAAAATGTGAGTTCAAATCGCAGCAAAAATATATATACTGCTTGAAAATACTTTTGCAGATTCGTTGAGCATGATAACATTGTGTAACGCATTATAAATAATGCAAGAAGTATGTGCTGTTGTAGTTTCAAATTACATGCAATTGCAAAAACTGACTTTGAGAGATTTATGAAAACTGTGAATTTTTAACTGTAATTAAAACACGATCTCAAAAAAACAAGTAGGTAATTGAAAAAACATATGTAACTTTGTGTGAATGCATGTTACGCGACTTGAACTATAATTAGGAAGGCAAACAGCGCGACCAAACTTTGTAAACTCCCACTATTTGAACCTTTATTTTGCTGACTAATACACAGAATCCTAGTAGTCCGATTTGGCGCCACAGTGAGTAAACAGGGAAGATCGAGTGTTGTATATCTAAAGCAACATCATTTAATAATGTACAGCATCACTGTCAAAACAACAGATGTGAAGCAGCGACGTCAAGTGGATGAGAGGGTTTGTGGTACTGATTGTAGGCACTACTCCCCACCAACATTTCATATTTTATTCGTTTGCATTGCAATATTGATTTAGTTCCGTTTCCTTTGCCTATTTTCGTTTCTTTTAAACTAGGAAATACGTATAAAACGTGAAAATATTTGAAAACGTGAAATCATTGGTCTTTTCTCTGATTTTCTTTGCAATTTATCTTTTCTTAATCTTTTAATTACTTAATTGTAAAATTTTAGTCAATTATGTCTGAAGGACGTCCGATGCCTTCGGGATTTATAAACTGCCTTGTGCAGTGTCATTCAGCAAGTTGCTGCAACTTCCATTGAGTTACTACAGCTGTAATAATAAATGTCTGGAAGTTCAAGTAATTATAATAGCAATGATATTGAAAATTATTATTTCGTAGATAATAATATATTATGAACGAATACATACATAACGAATGTAGACATGCATATTTCTAGGTAATTATGAAAGACATACCATTTTTTGCATCACTTTCTGCAAGTTCCCTGTTCAGCGACGAGGAGAACACGGAAAACTGAGACCACTCTGTTTGTGAAGTGCTTCGTGCTCCTGTTCCTAACTAGAAACTGGATGACGTCTTCATTAACTCTAATTAGTCTTTTCATCTGCGAAAGACGAAATTGGGAGACGCTACTGTCTCGTAAACACAAAATAAAGTTAGAGAACTGTTTCAGAGAACTGTTTCTCAAGACGTCTGAAAAGAAATTGGTTCGCTTCCCGAATCCTCCAATTTGGTTCTTTAAAAACTTGTTGTATTATTTGTAAGTATACTTAACAGACTGAAGTGTTTTGTTATATTTAAGAAATGTTTCAACACATTAGTTTGTTTTCCTTTGTGGAATAATAGAAATACTAATCCTTTTTTCAGTATTGAAGGTCGACTGTTACCGAAATATCTGGATTTAGAGGCTATAAATAACTTGTTATGTGACGAAGCTCTAATAAATTACATATATTTTCAACGAATAAAATTGCCATTAATTTTAACTTATTGAAATAACACAAGTGAGCAATAATTTGTTAGTAGAAATCAGTTT